TGGACGTTCTAGACGACAGAAAAGGAAATATTTTGGTCCAAAGCCAGCTGCTGCTGAAGTCGACGATGTCGTTGAGGTTCCTGAGGTCGCCAGTGAGGTTTAAGTGACTGAGAAGAGCGCACCCACGCGAAAGTTGAGCAGGAAGCCGGCCTCATTTAGCTGATCAAAGCTTTGACAGCAGCGAAGGCTCAGATGTGAACTCGAACCCACAGACAGTTCTGAGGACGACGATACTGAGGCGTCTGAGGAATCTGGAGAAGAGATAGAAGAGGATTGCTTGCGGAGCAACAGAATTGTGTACCTGAAATGTCTTCAGGAGCTTCTGGACGTGGCCACTGTGTAGCGAGTGCAAATCTGGAAAAATAAATATTGTTGACTGCTGCGCCGTTGGCCTCGCATCGGTGGTGCACGTGCAGTGCGACAATGTCTTATGCAGTCACAGTTGGAGATTTAACCTATGCCTGAAAGAGAAGCGATTCTTTGACGTCAACCGGCGATCAGTGTTAGCCATGCGGAGAATTGGCAAGGGACGTGCCGTCTGAATAAGTTCTGCGGAACCATGGACATGCCCAGCCCTGTGAACACACATGCCTACACCCGTCACCAGGAAGCGCTCGTGATTGCTGCAGCCACGGTGGCTCATAAGAGCATGGTCAATGCTGCTGACGAGGTGAAGGTGCTGAATGGTTGCGACACCGTGGCGGTAACTTGCGATGGCACCTGGATGAGGCGCGGCTATACGTCTCTCTACGGTGTCTTTGCCTGTATATCGTGGAGAACAGGCCGTGTACTGAACATACACGTGAGCAGCAAGTACTGCCAGGAATGTGTCATGTGGAACGACCGGAAGGAGTCCGGGAGAATTAGTGCAGCTGATTTCACTGCCTGGAAAGGTACCCACACCTGTGGAGTGAATACAGCGCGATCCGCACCAGCCATGGAGAGCGAGACAGCTGTCATCATATGGAGTCGCTCTGTTGCTGATCGTGATCTCCGGTGTACAACGTACATCGGAGATGGCGACAGTAAGGCATTCAATTCTGTCGTTGAAGCTGACCCATACAATGGTGTAGCCATTGAAAAGGCGGAGTGCATTGGACATGTACAATAACGCATCGGCACGGGCTTGCGGGAGCTGAAGAAGACGATGAAGGGTACGAAATTGTCAGACGTCAAGGCGTTGTCTGGGAAAGGCCGGCTCACCGACAAAGCCATTGACACTCTCCAGACACACTATGGATGGGCAGTGAGGGAGCACAGCCAAGACATCCAAGGCATGGCCCGGGATATCTGGAGTGGCCTTATGCACCGGTGTTCGTCGGACGACAATCCCCAGCACCAGTTTTGCCCGACCGGTCCTGACAGTTGGTGCAAGTGGCAGTTGGTGCAGGCTGGAGTCAGGGATGAGTACACCCATCGCCACATTCTCCCCAAGGCCGTGTTTGATGTCGTCAAGCCACTGTATCCACGCTTGACAGAGCGCAAGCTTCTCGAGAGATGCCTCCTCGGAGCCACGCATAATTCGAATGAAAGCTTCTTTGAAAGCTGGTGAAAATTTCTTCAAAAAATATTGAAGGAAACGGAAGTTGTGGTCGTTCGGACAAGTACGGTCCAGTATGGCGTGCGCGAAGGGTCATCCCCTCCCCCCCCCCCCTACCCTACGAATTTTTCGTTCTGCGCAAACTCTCTAATGTTCCTGGGAATTCACCCCTCCTCAGTCGAGCTCGAGTACGTAACGGAAAGATTGTGCCTAAAGAGCATCATTTATAAAGTGGTCTCCAGGGCAAACCATCACGGGGATACAAAAGTTACAGAGACGCTCCATTTTCAGGGCGACAAACACCTCATGAGACCCAAGGTGGCAGCGCGAGTCAGAGTCGATCTTGCAGTCTTGGAGTGGTGCTAAAGTCAAAGAGACGCTGAGAGCCAGTAACTAGAGAGGTTAAAATATTCACACTATTGCTGATGTGACGCGAACATTCAGCTCGCGTTATTTGGCTCGCGAGTCGAAAAACAACGCGAATGACCTGCAGCTCACGTCAAAATTTGGAGTTTCACGCCAAAGTTTACGTGAAATTTAATTGTGCGTCACGTCGCAAACGGAGTGTGTGTGTGTGTATGTGCGTGTGTGTGTGTGTGTGTGTGTGTGTATGTGCGTGTGTATGTGTGTGTATGTGTGTGTATGTGTATGGATGTGTGTGTGTGTGTGTGTGTGTATGTGTGTGTGTGTGTGTAACGTGCATCCTCTCTAATCATAATTTTTCTGAAGTACTTGGGCCCCAGGGCCTAGGGCCTCATTTCTGCGTGCTTTGATGCATGAGCCCCTAGAAAGCGAAACAGCTGTCAGGAAGGTCTGGAACTCAGCACAAGTCACGCAATCATTAGAGAGTGCACGTTATTTCCGACGTGACGCGCAATTTCACGTCAAATTTGGCGTAAAACTCCTAATTTCGACGTGAGCAGCAGGTCACTCTCGTTGATTTTTCGACGTGCGGGCAAATAGGGACCTTTAGCACCACGTTGTTTACGACGTAAGCCTGACGTAGGGCCTTGTCCGGGTTCGGGGTCACGTCGCGACGGAGGATGTACGTTCATCAGGCAACGTTTTCGACGTAGAAAAGGCCTTTTGTACGTTGTGACAGGACGTAGGAATTTGCCTTTGCACTTGCACCAAGAGGGCAAGAGTTCAAAAAAACATCGATGTTTTGATGTTGTAGTTTTTGTTATTCAACCGACGAGGTACTAGGTACGATCGATCGAGAGGCGTAATTTTATTCTTTGCTTTCTTTGTTTTGTGTTCCGATATGGCTTCCGAGGACACGCAGACTAAGGTTGTGTGCCAGAAATTTCGTTTTGGAGCCAAGGAGGACAGTCATCAATTTGTTGAAAGAAGTAGTGGCAGCGTTGAGCGAATAGCCCTTCTCTCGTGGCTCGCCGGCCTGGAACACTGTACTCCTGAATTTGGCAACCATATACCACGCCAAATGGAAGCCGGTAACCATCCGTACACTTCGAGGTAGAACTCATTTGCTGGTGACTCGGACTAATTTTCCAAGTACAGTACAATCATGTAGTTTACTAAAAAAATCTTTTCATCCACATTTCCCGCGAGGAACTTAGAAATCACGCGCGCCATTCTGCTCTGTTCCTGTGGCAACGACGTCGATCCATAATCACGTACGTCTCGCTAAAGGCTAGCCAAGTATGCAAAACACGTATCGCGCACCCCGATCGACGTGATCAAGTACGTCAAAAGGCCTACGTTGTAGCGTGGTAACGCGAGCTGAACTTTCGCGTCACGTCAGAAATAACGTGCATCTTAACCTCTCTATTATCGACAACCCAGTTGGAAGTCGGCCTGCGGGGGAGGGAGGAGGTATTATGTAGGTGGGTGCGTGCGGCACTGCCTGCGCCCGTGCACGTGAAAGTTCGCCATACTTATAGAAGAGCGTCAGAGACTGCCAACTATTTCGACCATTTACCGAAGATTATTATTATTCATAGTCTAAAATAGTTCAATACATTTTCATCATCATGATGGGCCATGGGGTAAGGTGCCTAAGTGAAGGGTAGCTGACGACGAAACTCCCGAGTCCCTACTGTTAGTACTAATCGGCTTCACTTCTATTATTGTCGAGAGGGTGAAGAGAGGCCATCTCAAACACGACTACAAGTTAGTTGACGTTTGATGACCTGCGGAGCAGAAGTTCAGTGTGGCTGTGTAGCCTCATTGACGTTTTTTTTTTTTTTTTTTTTTTAAATATTTCAGCAAGTAGGCTACTATCATTATTTTTCGTATTGGGGGTTAGACAAGGGGACGTAGCCATGTAGGCCAGGGGCGCGAGCCCGTCTTTCGGCACCGGGAGTGGCAGCTCGCTCGACTCTACTCTACTGTCGTACTGAGCTAGCTGAGTGAAGAGAACCCACACCTAGTACCTGTCCTTGATCTGGTGAGCTACATGTACGTCATACATGCGACTGCGGGGCTCGAACCCGCGACCTTTCGGGTCGCAGACAAGTGCAATGTACTACTACCGATTCAGAACGCTCCGTAAGAAATGTTATAGTAGTGCGATATCTATCTAGAATCATCTGTCTTCATCGCCGCCATTGACGCTTGGAACACAACAACGTTATAATAATTATCATACTGCAATTTCATTTCCCAGAGACACGATGATCGGATCTGTGAGAATCGATCAGAGAACACGTCGCCGTTCTGACGGAGAAGAAGAACGCATTCAGTTCTTGTGAGCAATTCAGCTTACCATTGCTAGGACGAACCCGGGGCCTTTTGCCAAAGATGCTTTCCACCCGTCTTCTCTTCTCGCTGGCTTTCAAGATGTCTGCCCGGGCGTGGCCTGCAAGTAGCTCCAGCTCCGGTGGCTGCTTCTGCCCCATGCGACGATTGGGACATCTTTCGCTAGAGTGTGAAAGCTTATGGCACCAAATACACATCTTGTTGAGAGCTGGGAGACGGCGCCGCGTCTTGTTCACTGCTCTGGCAAGTA